AATTTTTCTACAACCTCTGGTCAACCTCTTATAGTTGAATAAGACTCCAGTGATGAGATCTCTGCACCAGGCAGTTCCAGAAATGTATTTGAAATAAGTGAATCCAGTAGGTGATTCTAGTATCATATACAGTACAGTGGACGTATACAAACTGCATGATGCATTGGAGATACATTAGGATTAAGGAGCATCCAAACCTATGAAAAAAATGCATGTATTGTAGTTTACTAGTCTTTGATGTGGTGGTTGTATTAGGGGGGGCCCCACCTCCTCTTTGCCTACCGGGAGGTGCCGCAGGAATCTACCGGATTTTCCCCCTTTGAACTGCTGTATGGGCGGAAAATCCGTGGCCCCCCTACCCTACTGAAGGAATTCTGGGAGGGTCAACTGCCAGATACCGGGGTCCCTGTGGTGCCCTATGTCTTGGAACTGCATGAAAAGATGGGACAACTAGCCGGCCTAGCAGCTGACCATCTCCAAGCAGCCCAGGTCCGGCAAAAGACATGGTATGACCGCAAGGCACGCACCCGGGAGTTTACTGAAAACCAACAGGTCCTCATGATTGTCCCAAATCCCCAGAACAAATTGCAAACCACATAGGAGGGACCCTTCCGTGTCATTAGGAAAGTGAATGACACTAACTATATTCTTGGACTAGATGATCGGGGGAGATGGCAGAAAACGGTACATGTCAATATGATCAAGGAGTACCATGACCGAAACCCCCTTGTTATGGCCGTCTGCCCAATACCCTCTGAGGAGGAGGAAGAGGCCGTACCGGACCTCCTGGAAGCAGCCCGCCATCCAACTGATGTGCACCAGGTGCTCCTGAGTCTACAGCTGAACCCGGGGCAACAGAGGGCCATGAATGCTGTCCTGGGCCAGCGCAGTTCTGCTTTTTTGGCCTGGCCTGGAAAAAAACTACTATCACCACTCACCATGTGGAGACCCTGGGAACCCGGCCCCTCCAACAAGCCCCATATCGTGTCCCCGAAGCTGTTAAGAACACTATGAGACAGGAAATGAACGAAATGCTGGATCTGGGAATTATTCAGCCCTCCCAGAGCCCCTGGGCCTCTCCTGTTGTTCTTGTCCCCAAGAAAGATGGTAGCATCCGCTTTTGTGTTGACTACCGACGCCTCAATGCCCACACGGTTAGTGACGCCTACCCGATGCCCCGTATCGATGACCTACTGGATCGGCTGGCTGGAGCCCGCTATGTCACTACTCTGGACTTGAGCAAGGGCTACTGGCAAAAATCCCGTTATCTTCAGAGGGTCGGGAGCGCTCGGCCTTCATCACCCCCTTCGGCCTGTTCGAGTTTCTCAACATGCCTTTTGGCATGAAGAACGCTCCTGCCACCTTCCAGCGTACGGTGGACCAGCTGCTGCGGGGCTGTCATGACTTTGCCTGTGCCTACCTGGATGACATCGACATCTTTAGTGAAACATGGGAATACCACCTCCAGCATGTGGGCTTTGTCCTGGACCGAATTGCAGGGGCCAACCTCACGATTCGACCAGACAAGTGCCAGATGGGGATGGCGGAGGTGCAATATTTAGGACACCGGGTGGGAGGGAGTAAACTGCGCCCAGAACCGGCTAAAATAGAAGCCATTAAGGAATGGCCCACCCCCCAGACCAAGAAACAGGTTATGGCGTTCCTGGGCACTGCTAACTATTACCGCAAATTTGTTCCTCATTTCAGCACGATTGCGAAGCCCCTCACAGATCTCGCCAAGAAGACCATGCCCCGGATGGTAACCTGGACCCTGGCCTGCCAGACCGCATTTGATCAGCTGAAGGAGGCCCTTTCCCATGACCCCGTCCTAGCAGCGCCCAACTACCAGCAAAGGTTCATCATGCAGACAGATGCCTCCACTTATGGGCTGGGGGCCGTCCTCATCCAGGTAAATGAGGAGGGGGAGGAGCACCCTGTGGCCTTCCTTAGCAGGAAACTATTAGACCGGGAGGTGGCCTATGCCACCATAGAGAAGGAGTGCCTGGCCATAGTGTGGGCATTGAAGAAACTTCAACCCTATTTGTATGGCCGGGAGTTCACCATCCTCACGGACCATAACCCCCTCACCTGGCTGAATCGGGTCTCCGGGGATAATGGCCGCCTCTTACGATGGAGCCTGGCCTTACAACCATACAATTTCACCATCCAATACCGACGGGGAAGCCAGCACCACAATGCAGATGGGCTGTCCCGTCAGCAAGACCCCCAGTAAATGCAGTCCACAAGTGCCTCTACGGGAACCTGTTGAGGTTCCCCTGGCGGCACTTGTAGAATGGAGGAGGGAGGGGTGTCACGGAGCTGGTCCTTCCTTCCCCATCCTCCAGGTTTGCTGGCTGCCACCCTTCTGTCCCATCCATGCTGGGACTTCTGTCCTCTTTGTCCCTGACACAGGTTTTTCTTTTTTATATATTTTATTTTTACCTGGTAATCCTGCCAGTCAGTATTCCACATCCTGTCTTAGGTTGAAAACCCTCACTCATCATACTGTATTTAATGAGTGTTGTCCTCCCTCCCCCCCTTTTTCTCCATACCATAGAGGGGACGGATTATGTAGACCTCAGAGATAGCTGCAACAATGTAACGGATAACAGTTCACACAGTTAGGCCCCTTTCATGCGGCGGGTCCGGTCAGGTTGACTGTCAGTTTTTCAGGATGATCCATTCAGAACACATAAAGTTATCAGTTTAGAAGATTTTGGCAGGATTTGTTTAATTGTACTTATTGAACAGATGCAACAAAAATCTTTCAATTAAATACTTATCAGACCAAAAGGGACTAAAGAGATATTCATAGCTAGGGTTTACGTGCGCGTTAACATAAAATCTGACCCATATAGAAATAAGAACCTTACTTGAACTCCTCCACAATCTGCTCACTTATGATTCAAATATAATGAAAGTGTTAATTTTGTGTCACTGACCTTTTAGCTGATACCTAATGTTAGCTATTTTCCCCAAACTCGCCTCTGGCCATGAATATTTGGGACTCTTCCTTTACTACAGCATTTCCTAGGAATATTTTTCCTGGTGGATCCATAATTCCCTTACTAGACTAAAAGACTTTCAAAATAACACTCCATTTATTTGTAGCGCAGACCCAGGACTGGTCTGGCTGTTTGGTTCCAGGTTCTATTCCCTAATAGGCACACAGCAGCCAGGCACACGGTATTTCCCACTCACCTGAGCCACAGAACAGACTGCATTTCTTTTGTTGTTTTTTTTTTGTTAGAGAACTGGGATAGGGTGAGGGTGAACCTAGGAATACTTAAAAAAACATCAAACAGGTAGTCAAGGACACTAAAGCTGAACTAATACTTAGGGGTGATAGCACCTCCTTTGAAGTTGTAGACAAAACAGTACTAAACAGGTACTCCTCAACAGGAATACAGTCCTGACTACACCTGGTAGCAAAGTGAAACCTCAGGGTGAAGGCAGCCCTTAGTGAAGTGTAGTAAAAGTGGTACTAAACAATAATTCCTAACAGGAATACAGTCCTGAGTGTGCTAGCAGTAAAGCAAAACTCCCAAAAGAGACCAAAGAAAGTCTCTAAGTCCAGAATGCTGGTACTCGCTGTGTTCTGAATACTGTATAAACTCAAGCAGTATTAGTCAGCTTCTTTACTCCAAATGCCTGAGTCATGGATGCTGAAAAAGCTTTCTGCACATGTGTCAGGAGACTAGAACAAAGGTCCCCCCAGCCAAATAGTAGCTGGAACCCCAAAAATGATTCTTGTAATTGGAGGTGGATATCCTAGGGATTCCACAACCCTCATGCTGGGTCTTACCCCCTCCAGGTACAAGAAGCTTCTGCTTTGGGCTCCTGCTTATTTATACCTCTGCAAGCCCCCTGCTGGGCACTCTCCATATTGCCCAGGAATTGGCTGAAGAGGCAATAATACGCAGGCTGAAGTCAGTGCTCTTCCACCCACTATGTCGCAGGGTCACCTGGGAGACAGGGGGAAGTACTTGAGCTCACACCAGCAGAGCCCAGAGCAGATCTTTACTAACAATTGTTGCTCTACCTGATTACAGGGAGGCCCAAAAACTAAATTTAAACAACAGTAGCCCAATGGGGTGCTACATATTACTTTGAAAATATGTATGTAAGCACCTTCAAGAGATCCCCGAGCATGAGAAATACTAATATGTTCAAAGCAAGCACTTTCATGCCTGACCTCTGTACCCCCTGATCCCCATTTACTCTTTTTCATTAGATTTTCTCCTCTTCTCCTAAGGAAAAGGGTATTATCTCTGTTCTAAATAATAATTTCACTCATCTCTATCTTTTAGAAACAATAACAAAATCTCAAATGGTTCAAAGGGAGTTGTGTTGTAGGAAACAGTTTTCCCCTCACTAATGGGATGTTATGTGCCTTAATGTATGTAAAATATAACCACTCCTTAACACTACAGGAAACTGCAATCAAATTGCATACTAGATGGCACTTTACCATTCAAAGACCACACACTATTTTTTCAGTCTGTGACACTTGTTTCCCAGGTTGTTCACCAGCAAATTTATTTGAACATTGGAGTTGCAGAGTACTTTGTCCATTATGGAAAGATATCACAACCCTGGCATCACAGCTGATGGGTCAACAATATCTGTGTCTCTACTGTTTGTCTCTATCCTGGACATACTCTACCATGTTGATCAATTGGCATTCCTGTTCTGCCTGGATTTCACAGGTTCTTACCACAATACAATTCAATACTTATGGAAAAAGTCTTTCATACAATGCATAACTCAATGCTGTAAATTTATGATAAAGAAGATATTTGGCTTTCTTCATTCTATAACATAAAGCTTCACCTGTCTCTACCTAATGTTTCTATACGTAACAATTAGAGATGAGCGAAGTATTCAAAAATTTCGATTCGGCTGATTCGGCGAATTCGCGGAATAAATTTGATTCGAGTCGAATATATTCGCTGCGAATTTAACTTATAAAAAGGGTGTTTCTAGGCTTCAGAGAGCCTTTATATTAGTGCAGAACACTGTACCTTTAATTTAAATGCCCTTGGAGTCTGCTGGGGAAGAGAAATAATACTGTCAGTCAGTATGACATGCACATGAGTGCCGTCGATCTTAGAATCACCGCACACTTCACTCATTTGGGCAGTCACGGGGCCAAAACCAGAGAGTGGAGCCACAGTGTGGCGGTGGAGGCAGCAGCAATGGGAGGCCATACAGCACCCTATGACAAAATGGAACCCACCAGCAGTGTGAGGAGACCTGAAAGTGGCACATGGCAGAGTGTGGCGATGGAGACAGCAGCAATGGGAGGCCGTACAGGGACCCATGACACACTCTGGACCTGGCAGCAGCATGAGGAGGCGGTACAGGGGCCCATGACAGATTACGGGCCTGGCAGCAGCATGAGGAGTCGGTACGGGGGCCCATGGCAGATTACGGGCCTGGCAGCAGCAATGGGAGGCCCGTAATCTGCCAGCACACTATGACAAAATGGAACCCACCAGAAGTGTGAGGAGACCTGAAAGTGGCACATGGCAGAGTGTGGCGATGGAGACAGCAGCAATGGGAGGCCGTACAGGGACCCATGACACACTCTGGACCTGGCAGCAGCATAAGGATGCGGTACAGGGGCCCATGACAGATTACGGGCCTGGCAGCAGCATGAGGAGTCGGTACGGGGGCCCATGGCAGATTACGGGCCTGGCAGCAGCAATGGGAGGCCGTACAGGGACCCATGACACACTCTGGACCTGGCAGCAGCATGAGGAGGCGGTACAGGGGCCCATGACAGATTACGGGCCTGGCAGCAGCAATGGGAGGCCCGTAATCTGCCAGCACCCTATGACAAAATGGAACCCACCAGCAGTGTGAGGAGACCTGAAAGTGGCACATGGCAGAGTGTGGCGATGGAGACAGCAGCAATGGGAGGCCGTACAGGGACCCATGACACACTCTGGACCTGGCAGCAGCATGAGGAGGCGTACAGGGGCCCATGGCAGATTACGGGCCTGGCAGCAGCATGAGGAGTCGGTACAGGGGCCCATGACAGATTACGGGCCTGGCAGCAGCAATGGGAGGCCCGTAATCTGCCAGCACCCTATGACAAAATGGAACCCACCAGCAGTGTGAGGAGACCTGAAAGTGGCACATGGCAGAGTGTGGCAATGGAGACAGCAGCAATGGAAGGCCGTACAGGGACCCATGACACACTCTGGACCTGGCAGCAGCATGAGGAGGCGGTACAGGGGCCCATGACAGATTACGGGCCTGGCAGCAGCAATGGGAGGCCCGTTAAATCTGCCAGCACCCTATGACAAAATGGAACCCACCAGCAGTGTGAGGAGACCTGAAAGTGGCACATGGCAGAGTGTGGCGATGGAGACAGCAGCAATGGGAGGCCGTACAGGGACCCATGACACACTCTGGACCTGGCAGCAGCATGAGGAGGCGGTACAGGGGCCCATGGCAGATTACGGGCCTGGCAGCAGCAATGGGAGGCCCGTAATCTGCCAGCACCCTATGACAAAATGGAACCCACCAGCAGTGTGAGGAGACCTGAAAGTGGCACATGGCAGAGTGTGGCAATGGAGACAGCAGCAATGGGAGGCCGTACAGGGACCCATGACACACTCTGGACCTGGCAGCAGCATGAGGAGGGCGGTACAGGGGCCCATGACAGATTACGGGCCTGGCAGCAGCAATGGGAGGCCCGTAATCTGCCAGCACCCTATGACAAAATGGAACCCACCAGCAGTGTGAGGAGACCTGTAAGTGGCACATGGCAGAGTGTGGCGATGGAGACATGGGCCCTTCTGGCCACGCTTGACTTTCTGGCCACATAGTCGACATACGGCTACGTTTACTTCCTCGGGCGGCTTGACGAAAAATTGCCACACACCGCCGAGTAGGAAACTTTGCCCCCGCTACTCCTCACTGGCTGACTGCTACTTTCCTCCGTGCACACCGGCACCACTACTGGCCGTGGTGGTAGGCTGCAGTGGAGCTGGTGCTCTACTCCGTGGCCGTTTGCCTCCACTGACACTGCTGCGACCCTGCTACCTCCTGGGCAACCCACCGACTGTTTTGCTCGCTGCCAAGCTGGCACCCTCTTCTCCTGATGATGCGGAAGCAATAGCCTGATGACGACGAGGTTGCCAAGTGCGATCAGCCTCATCATCATCAATTAGGGGTCTCCGCCTCACTACTAGCCCCCTCGGCTGCGTGTGGGTCAGGAGACAGACCTGTCTCTAGACCGGCTACCGAGCCACTCTCCTCGCCACTACTTCTTCGCCTGGCTGCTGAAGAGGCGGATGTCTCCCCCCGTTCCTGACCGCCCTCTGTTAGCTCTTCCTCACTGTACAGTGGGGCTGAGCCCACAGCATGCGATACTTCGCTTGGTGAGGGAACACCAAAGGACAGGGGCAGGTAGAGGACACGTGATTTTTCAGTGGGCTTGCTCCCGGGCCATGCCAACTAACGGTTGTGTCTGACGTACCCACCGACCGTTAGCTGTAGGTGTCAGAGGTGACCTGGGAAGAGGAAGACGACCAAGCCAACCAATCGATGACGGCAGGGTTGTCGGTGGAGACACGACCGCTGGATGACACCGGAAGCACTGGCCTCTGGCTGCGACTAGTGCTGCCTCGACCCCTTCCTCTGCTGCCACGTCTGCTCGCTCCTGAAACATTGCCTCCTCTGCCACTCCTCTGCGTTTTGTCTGACATACTCTTTAATTCAACGATTCAGTGTCCCTGAGTAACAATTCTGTGTCCCTGAGTAACAATTCTGTGTCCCTCAGTAACGATTCTGTGTCCCTCAGTAACAATTCTGTGTCCCTGAGTAACAATTCTGTGTCTGTCCCTGAGTAACAATTCTGTGTCTGTCCCTGAGTAACAATTCTGTGTCCCTCAGTAAAGATTCTGTGTCCCTCAGTAACAATTCTGTGTCCCTGAGTAAAAATTCTGTGTCCCTGAGTAACAATTCTGTCTGTCCCTGAGTAACAATTCTGTGTCCCTGAGTAACAATTCTGTGTCCCTGAGTAACGATTCTGTGTCCCTAAGTAACGATTCTGTGTCCCTAAGTAACGATTCTGTGGCCCTAAAGTCTCTCTGGCCCTAACTCTGTCCCTAATACAGACAGGTCTGTCTCTCTTGAATGACCGGAGGCTAATGGAGAATTGTAAGATGGCCGCAATTTATAGCTCCACCATTACACAGTGCTGGCTGGCTGCTGATTGCTAATGCGATCACATGTCATGAATGAATGCATTATGGGTCAGCGCGCCTTGTCTGCGCGCCTTCCCAGAGATCCCCGCTCCGTCGCCACACATGTCGCCGCCATTTTTGGGAAAATTCGATTCGTGCATCCGAAGTTGGCTAATTTTCGGATTCGGCGCGAATCGAATATTTTCCCAATATTCGAAACGAATTCCACTTCGCCATGTTCGATTCGCTCATCTCTAGTAACAATGCTATCTGGGCTGTTGCTGACTTTTATGCCATTTTGCTTCTTCATTTTAAATGGCGTATTGGTTATTATACAATGTATGTTTCACATGCTGCACATTGTATATCTCTGTACTATGTGGATAAGTCATTGTTTGCCTAAAACTACCAATAAATATAGTTTGAAAATGAAAATATTTCTCAGAACAGTTTGAATCTTAAAAAAACAGACATTCCTTAAAGCTGAGCTCTGGGATAAGCAAATGTTGAGTGAATGCAAAAGGCATGTGTATTATTTCATAAATCTTGGTGTGCTTTGTGTATTCTTCCAGATCTGTGCAGTAATACAGGGAGAAACAATGCTAATATGCAGAAACTTCCTGTAATAAAAACTGGTAATTTCTGCTCTCTCTCCTTTTGCAGGATGGCTGTTCTTCTCTCCGACCCTCTCATGTAGTTTTTCTACAGGCAGCCTGTAGCAGGTGGACATGCTGTCACCCCCTCCCTACCCCACAAATCTGATTTTTATACATGTTATGTACAGTACAGTGATGATGTCACCACTCCTTATACAAAGTAATAAAGGGTTTGCAAAGGCATTTGGTACTCACAAAGTGGAGCTATATCCTTTGTGGCTATTGAAAGTTTTTGTGCCTGGAGTTCAGCTTAACACCCCGGTCGAACTGGGTGCTACTTGGCATGCAATTTGCATTTTATGCGACTTGCAAATCATATGTCAAGTCGCACCCTATTGTCCGCAATTACAGTGGTCACATCAGTGCGGTTCCGACTTGGTTGGAGCCGCACCGATTTCTAAAGTAGTACATGCACTACTTTTTGGGTAATTTGCATAGTCGTCAGATGTCTTGCAAATCGCACCTGAAATCGGCATGTCCCCCTACTTTGAAATCATGTGACTTCACTGTAAGTTGCATGATTTCAAAGTCGGCTTGATGTGACCGGGGTGTTAGAGTTATGTTTTTTTTAAGGAATAAAGATCATCAAGGAAGTGTTTTGTGCATGCTTCCCCTATTTCCTGAGTCTGCCATATTCAATTAACTAGCATGTTATGCTAGATAATGCCTGTCTCCCTTCCCGAATATACTTTGCTGCCAAGGGGAACCAGATAAATCACAGAAATACATGTAATGTTTCATTGAAATGCTAATGATATATTACCATATGCTGTTTACATTAAAAAAGATATAACTATACTTTGGAAGATAAAATATGACACAATTGATCTGTGTGATGAAGATACCTGTGAATAAATCTTTTCAGCAGAATTCAAATGAGCCGTGATAAAAAAGACAACAAAATATGTTATGTTTTTGACTTCTCTAGAATACAACTCTCATCATCATGATGTGTTCTTTTAGTAACATGGAAGCCATCCATAGCTCCCTTAAAAACAAAAGAACTGCTGATGTGCATGTAAGTGTTTCAGAGCAAAAAACTTACAGATGGGGAGATGAGCCTTAACTTTAAAGTGGTTGTAAAGGCTAAAGGTTTTTTTACCTTAATGCATTCTCTGCATTAATCACTTGCCCTCCAGAGGATGTACCCCCTTCCTGACCGGGCCATTTTTTGCAGTATGGCGCTGTATTACTTTAACTGACAATTGCACGGTCATGTAACGCTGCACCCAAATTAAATTTATGTCCTTTTTTCCCCCACAAATTAAGATTTCTTTTGGTGGTATTTGATCGCCTGTGTGTTTTTCTTTTTTTGCTCTATAATAAAAAAAGACTGACAATTTTGATAAAAAAAACAATATTTTTGACATTTTGCTATTCAACATGTCCAGCAAAAAAATTTAAAAAATCAAATTTCGTCATAAACTTTAGGCCAAAATGTATTCTGCTACATGTCTTTGCTAAAAAAAAAACCAATATGTGTAAATTAATTGGTGAAAGTTATAGCCTTTACAAATGGAGGTATAGATACTGAAATTTTTTTTAAATTTTTACTAGTAATGGCGACAATCAGTGACTTATAGCGGGACTGTAGGACTGCGGCAGGCATTCTTACACTGGGGGGGAACTGACTTGGAGTCACTGACATCCCCATAGACACCAATACAGTTATCAGTGCTAAAAAAAGCACTGACACTGTACTAATGGCACTGGGCAAGTAGGGGTAACATGAGGGGTGATCAAAGGGTTAACTGTGTGCTGTGTGCTGTTTCACAGTAAGCTCTGTGTGTGTGTTTCACTGTAAGCACACTGCTTTGGATGGCTGTGCTGTGCACAAGCTGACAGGGAGGAGAACTGTATTGTTTACATAAAGTTCTCCTCCTCGTTGGAGATGCTCGGCAATCACTGTGCGCCGCAGAGTAATCACCGGCTGAAACCTGGTGATTGACAGCCAAGGCCGCGAATGGCAGTGCGGGTAGGGCGTTCATGCGTGCCCTACCCAGAAATGCAAAATCACATATATATGTGATTTTGCCCACCTGTGCTGCCCTGTAGCAGTATATCTGCTATAGGTCAGTCAGGAAGCGGTTCAGGGAAAAAACTTTTGGGTGCAG